GCCTACGTCAATGAAGTGCGCGCCAAGGAATTCCAGGCGAATCTAGGTGGTACTTCCTGGCGGCAGGTGTCAGTTTTTTGGCTGGCCAGGCAAATGTGAATGACTGCATCACTGTCACCTGGGGAATTCATGGTGGCATACATGAAGCGCATGGATCCCAGTTTCTAAATTGCCACCATATCTGAGTAAACCTTAATCTGTTTAATTTCTTGTGAACCGACCAAGGTGGCTTATTGCCAAATGTCTGGCTGGCTGGCAGAAATGTGAAGCGGAAGTGAAGGTTTAGGGGCCAGTAGATCGAAGAAACATCGATCTTTTTTGACCCACGAGCTTAGCATCAATGGGGCTGTCCTGTGAGTATCATTTTCAATTTCAAAAAACATGTCAAATCATGATTTTGAATTGTCAATCCATTCACCAGATTTTGATAGCCCAATCAATCCGAAGATTTACTTTTGGGCGAAAGCCTACTGGGGGAAGACCTTGATTGAACAAGGAACAACAGCATGCCACATTTGCTATGCTCAAGATTGGTTGACAAAAGCATGACCTACTACAATACACATGCTGACTTTGCAAAAGACTAGAATTGAACATCTGATGCATGCCCGCCATCCCGGCTCACTTGAGAGCTCACCCGGGTTGCCTTCAGGACTCATTTGTTTGACGTTTGCTCATGGCTCCTGCGGCATGGCAGAAGTCACCACTGGCCCTCACCGTTACAGCGGCCACCATGGCCTTAATGTTGGGTGTGCCACAAGAAATGTACCTGCCTTGGTTGAGATACATCCTGATATATCCTGATGACCTTTTATTTTGATTTGAAGATAGACATCCTCAGTGTCCAATTGAGGTTGGACTTTTGTGACTTTGTGGCCGAGTCATCTTACAAAGTCCACTCCAGAGCCAGGGGCCTATCCAGTACGGTTGAGAATGAAAACCATATATTTGAAAACCATATATGATGGGGCCTGTTGATTCATATTTGATAGAAAGAGAAAGTAAAAAAAACCAGCCCAGGACCTGCGCAACTTTGATGTCTTTTCCGGAGAAAGAGCGATAGAGAAGTCCTTTCGTCTTAGCCTCAATTTGGTGGTCGGTTTTTCAAGTATGGGCCAGCATCGCAAATTCCAGAACACTGGTTTGGGATTTCTTTGTAAGGAAACTCTGGCCATTGTACGCCAGGGCCCTAGCTGGTTCAGAACTTGATGTACCCCTGCAGTTAAGTTTATTTGCTTATATAATGTTTTCAACCCCTAGACTTGACTTGAGGGAATACTTTGACATCGCCTCCCGCCCGGCCAACAATGATATAACCACTTCGCAGCGGCCTTAAAGCAGCTGAACCATGTACTCACAACATCCCCCCAGTCATTTGCGGGTCCTTTGCGGCTCAGGCTTGGTTTCAGCCAGGCAGTGCAGGGAACCTTGAGGGTTGCAGTGGGTGGAGTCCTCACCCTGGGCCCACCGTGTGGGAGCTACGTTTGGGTGAATCGGGCCACGTCCTTGCGTTCAGAAGAATCTCCATACGGAGATGAAACAAAATCATACGTGGAGTTAGCTTCGCTGACCCTTAGCTAATATTTTCAATCTGAACATCAGTGGTGTTAAATATGTTTCAGCTGACCGGGTTTATCCAAATATGTGTTCTAGTCAAACCACACAAATTTCAAATGGGCGAGCTAAGGATAGCAACACGAGCACTACTTTTGATCGCCATTGCCACGGTGAGAGGTGTATATACATGCCTGGAGCAGCCAGGCTCTTCCACAATGAAATTTTTACCGCCGTTCCGATTGATTGCCAAGGGGATCACACAGCACTTGGGCCTATGGAAGGAGCAATTTTTGTCATATACTCAGAGTGTGGTATAGTGGGCCGTTGACATTCTTCTTACCATTATAATTTCTTAGTCCAGATTCCGCCCAGTTGGATGGCAAGCTGGGGAAGCCCTACACCAAAACCATCCCGTATTTGGGGAACAGCGTCAGCAGCCAAGATACAGCCCAGACCATCATTCCTCCTGGAGTTGTGCGGGTCTCACCACCACTGTAGGTTATGGATCCCTCAGCTATATTGCAAGCTATCGAAGCTCCACCGGCTGAAGTTAGCAGCAAATGCAAAGGCGTTGAAAGTGACAATTAAGAAGCGAAAGGCTGATGGATCCCTTAGTGTGTCATAACCTCAGAATGTTTTTGATATGCGCATAAGACTTAGATCGGCATTTCCAAAACCCACTGCTGTCCTATTGTTTTTCCAAGGTCAGGAGGGCCAGGGTTGAAAAAAACTCAAGTTTACCCAGCTGGGTATGGCCGACGGATTTCTGCTTTACACGAGCTACTATGGGATACTTGATTTCAATTTTCAGAACTTTGAAAGCGCATGCGATGATGTTCGAATGCTTAGTCCATTTCCAAGCCTCCAATTCCCAGGAAAAACATCGCTTTACTTTGCAAGTAGCTGTCAAAGCTGCAGTGGCGAAGATGCAGGACCAAAAAATTAAAGTAGCTTTGGCTAGGTCCACGGATACTGCAAATCATCTTGGAATCGTTGACCAAAAAATGTGTTCCATAGTGTTCCGACACACTCCCACCTGCCCTGTCCTTTAGGCAAAACGGAGTACAGCTTGGAAGAAGGCTGACCTGCCAGCAATCCGGGCATTTGTTTCCAAATGGAAGTCTAAAAAGACTGCCTGAACATCGTTTTTGAGAGTTCCCACACGGTATGTCCTGATATGTGGTGAATTTGGCATTGAAAAGCATTAAAAATATTGAAAAACAATCTTCAAAATACCTTGTGGGATAACTGCTTGTGGGATGGGCTCTCGAATCCTTGCCTCAAGTGTTGGTTTACCAACATTGGCTTTTCGAAATCAACCCTTACATCTTCTCAAAAAAAACATGCGTGAAATGAGCGTGAAATGAGCGTGAAGGGCCAAGTTTACCCGTTAAAGACCATGTTTACCCGTGAAATGAGCGTGAAATAGCACCCCCCATCTTTTGGATCTGATTTGGATGTGAAAACGGTTTAAAAAACATCACATCAACAATTTGTGACAAAAATGTTGTGCGTGAAATGAGCGTGAAATGAGCGTGAAGGGCCAAGTTTACCCGTTAAAGACCATGTTTACCCGTGAAATGACCGTGAAATGCCCCCCCACATTTTTCGGATCTGATTTAGATTTGAAAAGCCAAAAGTTAGCATGTGTTCTGGGTTTGACTGTCCGAAAACCTGCCAAGACAAGAGTTGGCGCTCGCTTTGGCACTCTTAGCATTAAACCGCGTGTGAATTTGACATCCAAGTTTGGGAAATTTGCATTTGCAATCATCTTTAGTGCTTTTGCCTCAGAACATTTGAGGTTTCAAAGTTGGCCTTAGGAAGTATGGCTGACTCGGACCTTAGTTCTTTTTTGGATAGGGCAAAGGCCAGGAAGTCTCGTGCAGAAAAAGCTATCTCTGAAGACCCTACTCATCTTCGTGAGGAGCATTCCTGGCCAGATTTGAAATCCACCATGCTACCAAAGATTCTTTCAATCCGGCTTTTGTGTTTTGACATTATTATCAGTTCAAGCACCTTCAGTACAAATCCCATTGACATTTCTTTGCCAGGGAGGAGAGATCCACCGCACAGACCGACGTTTCTGACAAGACCGACCGTGTTCCTGATGAATCAGCTGACACGTCGTCACAAAAGTCATCAGTGCCAGGACTTCATGACAATCAAAAATTGATCTTTTGCGTGTTTTGAACATACAGTTCTTTCAGTTTGTACCGCTTTAAAACAAAACAATCCAATTGCGCTGCCCAGTGCTCCCTACAGGCTCGAAGAGAAAGGTAATCCGGAGGATTGTGAAAAGAAAGCCAGCCAGTCCGGCACCCAGCACCCCGGCTCAATCTGAGCAAACTTTGCCTTACACCACAACGCATGACCCGTTCCCGGAACAGCATGAATGGGCAGACCATTACACAGGAGGGTATTCCCAATGGAGAGAAGAGCATCCAGAGTTGTGGCCCAATTGGCAGTGGCCACCCTATGGGTGGCGACCTTCACAGTATCAGAGTGCTTTCTGGGATGAGAAGAATCCTTACCACCACTACCGTTACTATGATTGGGATGCCAATCCACCACCAACCACTCCTCAAGGGAAATGTCCTGAGTTGAGATCCCCCGACACACAGAGCACCCTTCTGAGCCATTCCAACAGTAGCCTCAGCGAGGAAGTTCGGGATGCCACAGAGCAGCTCCAACGGTGCACAACAGCTGAACAACTGACATTTCAACAACGCATGTGTCAGGCGGGAGAAGGAACGGAACACCCTACTGTAGAGACTCCAGCAGACGCAGGTGGGGGGGATCAGAGAGAGGGCCCTACTGTTGAGACTCCGGGAGGTGGGGGGGAAGAGGGACCTCCGCCAGAGGTGCCAACTGAACAGAATCAAGTGCCTCCAGTTGGGGGTAATCAGGAACCTTTGCAACAAGCCGCAGGTGGGGGAAACGGGCCACAGAACCCAAACCAACCTGGAGCTCAGCCTGCAGGTGTGGGGGGGACTCCAGAGATCCCCGCTGAATCTCAGCAGGAGGTGGAGATGACAGAGGACCAATTGGCCAATGTGGAGACACGCAAGAAAGCAGCCCATGCCAGGTACATGAGGTATTTCAGGAGCATTCGAAGCCTCATACTCAGTATCAATGCATCTCTTGTGTCATAGCAGTTAGATTGTATCTTATGTTCAGTATAATCATATTTTTCTGCCATCAAAGATCTAGGCCCGAGGGCGCCACCAGAATTGAAGAAGCTTGCTGACAAGACCAAAGGAAGCCTATCTCTCAGGAAATGTTTTAAATGTTTTCACCAACCTAGATTCTATTTAAACAAAATGAAATTAAACATTCGGTCGGACTCCACTCTTTCCTTCCCACTCGGCCTTGCCAGATGAAAGCTTGAACTCGATCTTGTACGACGCCTGGAATGCCTGCAGCGGAAACTGGTCGAGCTCCAGGTTCTTGCAAAACATCAGGGAAAGGCATAGCCATAGAAAAAAGGGCACCCGCAAGTGGCTTTTTGCCACCGAGATGGATCAAATGTTTGGAGTACCTGTTGCAACCCTGATGCGAACCCGCAAGTTAGAAAACGCAGAGCTTCGTGCCAAAGAGACAAGAAACCACCCAGAACTGCCCGAGGCAGAGGACAGAACATAGTGAACCAAAATCCATATAGTTCGCAAAGCAATTCTTTTCATGATTTACTCTTCGAATTTGATATCTCCTGCCCAAGGTGTCCCTTTAATATGCAATATCTGTCTTCACAATTCCCAGGAGCACATGCAGTTTTTGACACTGGTAGAGGATGCTGAGGAGGATTCGCACGAAGAGGAGTTTGACAGACTCTTCACTTGTATGGATGAAAGCTCGAGTTCATCCAGCAGCAGCGGTGACAAGAAGCACAAGAAAAGGAAATCGGAAAAGCATAAGGATCGACAAGACTGATTTGATTTTAGGGTTCGCTTGGGATGATAGACCAGAACTTTCTAGCGTACAACAGGCCCTTCGTAAGAAAACCACCTACATGAAAAGGATCATCCAAAACAAACAATTGATCTCGCTTCCACATTTTTTTGGTAGGTAGTACTTGTGAAGTTGATTTGCCCCAGACAGGCAGGAAAGTCAGAGGCAAAAGAAAAGAAGGAAGCGAAGCCGAAGCCGGCGCAAAAGAAAAAAAAGACCAAGAAGGACAAGGAAAAGAAAGTAAAGGAGGAGGACCCAGAGAAGGACAATGAAAAGAAATTGATGAAAGATGGAAAGAAGGTTGGCATAGCCGCTTTTTATCTGCTACACCTGTCTGAAACAAATGTTCGGTTAAGGGCCCCTTTGAAAGGAAATCATGTTCTGATCTATTCTATAGTCACTAGTCACATGATACATTTCCTGGAGGCCATTACCGACGCGAGCAACAAGATCAAAGCTGCACTGGAGCTGCTGCCCAATGCTGAGAACCTGCCTAGAACTCAGCTAATACCATGGAATGTCTCGGGAAAATAAGCTACAGGAGCCTTGTGAATCTCAACCAAAAAGTTGATCCGTTGAAATTCAAGCCCTAACCCTGCTATCTAACTTTTCAATCCACCAGTGAAACTAAGTCCTGATCATGAGCCCAGGAGCGAGAAGTATGCCGACTCTATCAAGACCGATGTTGAGATCAAAAAAGCAGCGCTGGAGGCTAGTTGTATATACTTTGCATGCCTGCATAAACAAATATTCCAGCCAAGTTTTAAATGCAGCAATTTTATCCCCCTCAACCAAAAGTTTTGAATATTCCAGTTGCGACAGGAAGCGAGGTCCGCCTTGCAGGGTGCCTTTGACACTTCCCAGGCAGGGATGGCCGTGATATTTCTTGTTATGGTTCTTTTGCCCCATCCATTTGGTGGTGGATTGGAACGAATGCCAACTCCCATCTGAATCCCAGCTACTAATTTGTCCAATCAAATGATTGATTCTAAAGCGGTTATCCAAGGAATATTTCACCCGCAAACCTTTTCTTTGCGGCCAGGTTACCCAGGAAAAGATCGACGCCGTGAATGCAGCACGCGCAGAGCTCGAGACTGCCTGCAACCCACTGAAACTCAAGAAGCCTAAAAAGGCTAGGGCAGAGTGAAACCTCTAGCCTTAAATCTCTTAGAGTCTTTGCCGTCTTGCCAAGGGTTTGCCTTTGCCAGGGAGAGGAAACGCTCAAAAATAGAACAACGTACTGCTTACTTTTCCTAGATTTTCCTGGGATTGTAAGACAGTTTCACGGATGTTCTAGACATGCTTGCTGTGGATGGTCCAAGCTGTTCCTTGGCCACTGGCTTTTCGGGCCTTGCGGTTGAAAGTACATAAGTGAAAGTTGCCTGTGGGGGGTGACAGCGTTTACTGAAATCAAGACGCTGCGGGGAACATAGCGCATACGTAGAACACTTGGTACATAGATCGACTTCTGCCTTGGGTGTTTGAGGTTCGGGTACCCTATTGTCTATTTCTAGTGACTGACGTGACTTGGAGATTGGTAATTCAATTTCAAAATCTTATCCTGTTTCAACTCGCGACACCCAAGTTCCAGCCCAGCTTTTGGAGCAACCCGATGCATAAGATTTTGATTGACATACTGCGCCAAATCTCGGAGAAAAAAATCAAAAGACTTTCAACCAAGTTCCTCAATATGAGAGTTCATTTGCCACAGTACGTTCAGATACAGAAAGGTTGCCCTGGCCCTTCGCAGGTACTGATGTTGGACCTCTGGAGCGGGATTTATCCGAGAAGCTAGCTAATGGGGTGACTTGCCGGCAGCAAAATTTACAGATGGCAAGTTTTACCTCGTTGAAACATATTTTACTTTCCATTGGATTTTGGATGATTTTGGTGGGAATATAGCTGAGGCAACAAGTGCTACGGCTGCCATTGGTTCTGCTAGAGCATCGCATGCAGATGCTCGAGGGTGCAGGGTGACATCCAAGTTCTTACTTTGGTTGGGCCCCGGTGTTTGGAGAAAACTGTGTTTTTAAACCATGTTTCAAATTTGTCTATCCTATGCGTAGTCTTGGGCCCGAGGAAGCTCGTGGACACACTACCACATGGACCAGAAAACTCGAATCATATTCCAAGAATGCACGTAACCATGCCCGCGACTTCTACCGCAACACTCCGCTCCCAGTGGAGTCTACCTAGATGATACAGCAGGGCTTTTGTGTTTTGCTCCTTTGGTGATTTTTGACCTGTATATGGTACGGGAGTCCTTTATGAAATTCTCCGGGTCTTTGCATCTAAGGAACCGTCCTTCATCCCTGTCACTTGCAAGAACAACTTTGATGAACCCATTGAAATGGAATTACCAGTCCTTTTGCCTCACAAAACTTTAGAACACCTGCTTCTGAAGTGTGAGCTTGCCCTTGAGGACGGCCTAGTCCAAAAATATTGGGAAAACTTGGAGAAATCAGGGGAAGAGTCAGCCTTGAAATCCAAGGAGTATAGGCAGGTTGTGGGAGAGCAAGTTTGGCCTGTGGGCATTCATGGAGACGAAGCGTCTATGAGCATTCAGAACGCTCCCTTTGACAAAATTTGGGGAGTTTTCCTGTCAGTGGTTTTGTTTCGGCCGAAGGCTACAAGAACCTCAAGGTTCCTCATGTTCGCTGTTGAATCCTCACGGGTGCTAGATGTCCAATCAACCATATTTCCCCTTTTAGAGGCTGTCAAAAACAGTTTGAACTTCGCCTGCGAGATTGGAGTGGGAGGTCGACGGTTTCTGCTTAGTGAGCTTCGTGGGGACCAAGCCTGGTTTACGTATATCTTTCGTCACAAGTCCTGGTGGATCAAAAATGAAATTTGTTTTCGATGCAAAGCAACCGGGAAATCAGGGCCTACATGCTATGTAGATTACGATGCAGATTTACCACTACGAACTACTGAAGATTTCTTGTTGGATGAGTTGCCAGCTGATGGCGATTTGTGACACTTGGTGGGATATCTCGTTCAGTCTGAAATTGTTTTATGATGTTGTACCTGCAACAAATCATTATTATTTTTCACCGTTGAAACAAGACACCTTGGGGAAACCACACCTCCTGTTTTGTTTAGAACCGCAACCTGGTATATCCAAGGCCCTTTCGTGGACCTGCACTTTTTCGCGGTGAGTTGCATCAAACCGTGCACTCTACATATTGTCAACCTTGGCCTCCTTGGAATATCGAACGGATCTACTCTGCAGCTCGGCTCTGTGTGGGTTATGGAAAGTTCCCAAATTATCAATATACAATCCGGGTGGTTACTAGTATAATTTCAATCACAACACACCACAACCAAAAATTATACAATTTGAATGAACAGTTCAATATGCGATACATTTTGTGTTCATCATGATTTTTTTGTCAACAACCAATTTCTGTCTTAGCTACCGCAGGGCGATGCTTCTCCACATTGGTGCCTTTGGACTGGTGGATAGAGCGAATGTCCCAGGTGGCTATCAGGTTGCCATCAAGGAAGCATTTGAATCTTTTACCCGGTGGCGCAAGCTACACAAAATTCAAAGTTCCCAGAGGCGTTTCCATTACAAAGGTATTTTCAATGATGTGTATGGTTGCTACCTCAACTCGAAAGGCTTCAATGCTAGAATTTTATGCGAATGGCTTCTACATGAAATCATTCGGGTGAGATCCCAACCTGGTTTATTCTTACGTGACGAACGGTTGCAATCGACTGAAAATGCCTTGAGACTTGACACTATGAAGATAACTGTTTGTATTTCAAGTTTTTGTATTTCAAGTTTTTGGAATGATTTTCAAATATACTTGACACATCAAATGATGCCCAGCTTTGCCAACCGAGGAAAGGCATTTGCAGATACTTTGGTGTAAGCGAGCGAGCCTCCAGGTGGCTGCGACTTGGCTCCAAGGATGCCGCCAGCACGCGGCATTAGAGTTTGTCACACATATCTGACATATCCCCCAAAAAATGAAATTTATCATAATTTATGATACGCACCCTGGCTTCCATTTCTTTATTCAGTATATTCGAAGGAATTTCCATTTTCACAAGAAATGATACATATGCAGTTAATTCTCAAGATTAGTGAGGCCTACTGTGGTGGGGGCCCCGGGTGGTGTACCTATCTTACGGTCAGTCCAAACATCTGCAAATTATTCCTCAAAGTTATGGTGGAACACATCTTAACAATTTGAGACGTTATATTGATTGATTGATTGATTGATTGATTGATTTGATTGATTGATTGATTGATTGATTGGCCCCATCCAAGGACACCAGCCCAATCTGCAGACATGGAATCTTCTGGCAAATGCTATCTCCAGAATTTTTTGGTCTTGAACCGAATGAGCATCAGGACTATCTCGGGTATCCTACATCCTCCAAACGATATCGGACCATAGAACGATTGGTGTTGAATTCCTAGGGGAAGGAACTATAATTCCAGACTACTCCTTTGGATGGAAGAAATCCTGGACCAATCGATGGTTTATCCTCTTATAATCCCATTTTTTGCAGTGGTTCATAGTTACCAGTATATCTATGCCAACTGGTACAGGATTCCTTCCATCCACAGTATGACTCATGCAAAGTCTGCGCAGGAGTGGAGAGATTGCGTGGGTGGTAGTGCCAAAATGGCATGTTCCTTGGCGATCCATTTTAGAGCAATTTCTCTACGGTGGGAAAACTCTCCACTCTAGAAAGAATACTAGTTCGAACATGTCTTTAGCCAAGGGATTTCGTCACGTGTTGCGTGATGGAGTTCGCCAGCAAAGTCCCTCGACTACATTCATGCGTTTTTCTCCAAAGAACAGCGAGTAATTGAAATTCAAACTTTGCTGCCAAGCAATGAGGACAAAACCCCAGAATGCATCACACGTTTTGTGATGAAGATATGATGTCCGTCCTCAAAGGCGAGGATTTCAAATCAAAACGATAAACCCGGAAACACCAGAACTGAAGAGTGTTTTAGATTCTGATTTTCACACATATTTTCTCAGTCTTGTGCAGGCTGGGCTAGAAGGTCAGATGCCAAAAAACGGGGGCGTGAGCATGGCATAGTTCGGTTTGCGCGAATGCGTTTGAAAACGCTGACATGGCGCATTCCAGAACTTTTGCGCAAACGTGGTCGCAAATTTGGATAAACAAAAAAAGCTGTGTGTCTTGGGTCTTGGGGTGGATGAACCAGCTGGATGATTTTTTCAGACCACCCACTCACCACTGAAAGATTATTTTCGCGTTAAGGCCCCTAGATGATTCTGTCATTATGTCAAGCCTACGACCAAAATTATGGGAGGCATAAGGGAACTATGAATTGATCTCTCTCTCTCTCTCTCTCTCCAGTGCCTTCTCGATGAGTTCAGCAACTGCTCCACCAGGCAGGAGTGTCAGCAGCCAAGGGTATCAACAAGCTATGAATTGAATATATGTTAATTTATTTAGTACTCTATGGGAACCATAGGGGGACCATGAATATATGGTACTTTAGTATCCCTCCAAAGAGCTTGTTTTACTACGTTAAACATCGACATTCCTTAAAGTTGAAGTTTTCTGCGTGAAAGTGGTAATGTCTAAGTTAAACATCAACATTGGAAGGTTGGGGTATATATATATATATGTGTTCTATGAATAGCCATGAACAACCTATGCTAGCCTCCCAACACTGGAGTATCGTTTTAGCCATGGGAACACTTCCAAGCTCCAGGGATAGAGGGTCTGAGCAGCGCAAGGAGCAAGCCCCGAGCCAACTCTCAACCCTTCGCGCCTTGGCCGAGACGGGATGGTGATTGATGACCCCAGATGAATGTGGTGGGATCGACCAGTGGACCAGTGGACCAGTACTCGTAGCATCACCATCATCAGAGGAGGAAGCTAAATCTCTGGTTTCAGTCATGGAGGACAATCCAGCAAAAGCAGAGGAGTCACCTGCCTGATTTGTTCCGAGTACTCAAGCTCGATGGCAGAAACATATCCAATCCTGAAGTGATCTAAGTATCTTATCAGAAAAAACATATGCGTACGGGTTTGTCCTACAAAAAGTTAAGATGTTAATAGATGTGAAAAGTATGATATACATTGATATACTATAATTACCTGTCAGGGTGGGAAATCATGACAAACTACCAGATTTCCTGGATACCTCCCATTTGTCAGTCAAACCATATGTATGCATCCACTGTAATCAGGTTGGTGAGCGGAACTTGAAGGGAGGTCCGGGTGCTCAGTCAAGGCCGAACTAAACCATGAAGATAATGATGGTCCTTGGATCTTCTTGGGTATCGACTCCTGTAACAAAATAGGGGCCTCACCAGATTTTCCTTTTTTAAGGTGTGATTGCCCGTGTTTTATCGCTGTCTGAAACATGACTCCGACCAAAGTCTGGTTCTGTGATGATAGCACCTTCAAGAAGGTGCGTTTATGTGTAAGGGAAGACTTTGAGTATTTTCAGTGAGATCATGAACTACCAACCGGATGGTATTGATAACATTGCAAACCGTCTAACATTACAAGAGCTCTACGGATACTTTTGTCAGCTTTAGGAGGGGCGCAAGTGTCATCGTCTCCCAGTTTCAAGATCGTCTAGCAATGGGTCAAAACCCTGGTACCCAGCTGTTCACATCAAAACAGCTGGTGTAGATTGGTGTAGCAGTGTGGATGCTGCTGTTCCCGCCAAAATCTCTGGTAGCTATGGATGTTCATCCCCAAATCAAGCCATGGTCCGCAGTTAGGTATTGACCCATCAACAGTTCCGCTTGCATCCGAGGTGCTGTGTCGCCCGGCACCTCAGCACTCGACGCCATAGGTAAAACAAGATGGGGCTGGGCCGAAGAACAAGTTCCATCAGATTCCACACTTAAGTTGGAATTTGATGATAGTTACTGATAGTTCTGATAATCTGAGTTTCAGATTGTGTTTTTTTTATTTAAATGTTGGGATCATCCAGCTCAGAATGGGAGCAATTGCATTGCCTGGACATCCTTCAGATATGTTCCCGTCAAAGCCCACCATTTTCTCTATTTGCTGAATCTGAGAGAGATAGCCATCCCAACACCACAACCGGCTGGGGCTTTCCTGATCAGATCTGGATCTTCATCTTCCAGATCATAATCACCACAGGACTTGTATGGACTTGTCTTCGTGGACTGAAACAATTTTGGATTCTTGAGATTTCTTGACTTCTGGAACACAAAGGAATCCTCTCAGACTCATTTCATCTCGGAGTTATCACAGATCATCACAGATCATCACAGATCCTAAATTTCATCATTATTTCATCTATATTTCAGATATTTCATCTCCCCATATTCCCCCCATGATTTGGTCTGGTGATATCTCCCTTCGAAAGCACAAACTGGACAGGTCTCAGCTTCGCCACTCCCCGCGACAGACCGCCTCGGTGCCGGACCCTGGGAAGCTCTGAATGCGAAACACCGCCAGAGATGCCATAGATGTTCAAAGATGTTCAAAAAGGGTTTAATTATGGCATCTATGGCATCTATGGCATCTATGGCTTAAAGTTTATTCATGCCATAATATGGTTTAATGATTTTTATGTTGAAGATACTTTGAATATCTTTGTTTTTTTAAATAATAGCTCACGTAGATTCCAATATATGACCTAATCTCAGTTGCCTTAACCTCCACATTTTTCCAAATCGCCTATGGTTATTTGGCACTTTCCCAAGTTTCAGTGCCCAGGGGCCGTGCCTGTCAGCGGACGTGCGGAGCTCAGAGAACCGGTGCTGGGCCTTCTGGGATTGTGGGAAGCTGTTGGAGAATTACCCTCTGGTAAACTAACATAGCTATTGAAAATACCACATTTATAGATCCCCCATGTATAGCTCATTATAAAGTGGACATCCTTTGCGCTTATAAAGTGGGTTTCCGGTCGCCACTTTATATACCGACAATGGGGGATAAAGCCGTGTTTTGCGCGAGAAACATGCCCTTGGACCTGGAAGATGACTTTATAGCAACGTTGGCTTTCCAGTTTATACCCGGCTGGTTCCCCACAAGGAAACGACTCAATATATGCGGCAATGCATTTTATAGACCGTTGGTTCCCTTCAAAGAATGGCCATAATATGTCACACCATCCACTTTATAGAAACATGTCTCCCCAATGATTTCGGGCCAATATCTTTCTGTTGGGGCTGTATACATGGCAAAGCACTTTATAGAGTGAAACTTGCCCTTTAAGAAGAAGAATTTGTGCTGCATCCAGGGCACTTTATAGAAAGAAAATTGCGGCAGAGCATTTTATAGAGTCATGAGATACATCACCCAAATCACTTTATAGAGCTGCCCAGGACCCCATTCACCCTGAGGACCCCTTTCAAGGGAAATCTTCTTCTCTATAAAGTGGCCAGTCCAGGTAAAACCCCTGAAAAAACAGAATCTATGTTGGACTGGCCACTTTATACCCCCTCCCCAAACAGAGAATGCCTCTATAAAGTGGCCAGTCCAGGTAAAACCCCTGAAAAAACAGAATCTATGTTGGACTGGCCACTTTATACCCCTCCCCCAACAGAGAATGCCTCTATAAAGTGGCCAGTCCAGGTAAAACCCCTGAAAAAACAGAATCTATGTTGGACTGGCCACTTTATACCCCCTCCCCCAACAGAGAATGCCTCTATAAAGTGGCCAGTCCAGGTAAAACCCCTGAAAAAACAGAATCTATGTTGGACTGGCCACTTTATACCCCCTCCCCCAACAGAGAATGCCTCTATAAAGTGGCCAGTCCAAGTAAAACCCTGAAAAAACAGAATCTATGTTGGACTGGCCACTTTATACCCCCTCCCCCAACAGAGAATGCCTCTATAAAGTGGCCAGTCCAAGTAAAACCCCTGAAAAAACACATTTTTACCTGGAATGGCCACTTTATACCCCAGCCAGTGGGCTCCAGGACTTTGACCCGGAAACGGAAGGACTGACAACAAGGTAAAGGGGGAAAACTACAACGGAGAGGTACAACGGGAAGGCTACCACAAGAAAATGAGACATGTCACGTTTATATACGTTTATTGTTTTCAATGTGTCATATAGATTGGCGATGATTGGTATATTGAATATGTTGTAGATGTATTTTGGAACATATGTATACCTATGATTCACACATCAATATAAATATATATAAATCATAAACACATGCCAAACCAAAAACTTTTAGCTGAGTATTGTATTCCCAATCTGTTGGCAAATGTCCAGCCGATTCACCATGCGTGACCCAACAAGATTCAAACTATGGATTGTTTACTTTCGAAAATATTTTTTTACTGGTTCTTGCAAACAATTTTATAGAGGATGGGCATGGACCGGCCAGTTTATACAGAGGGTGGGGCTGCCAGAAATGACGTGATCAAGCCACTTTATAGAGCTGAACTTTCTTGCAAACCATTTTATAGAGGATGGGCATGTGGCCGTGGTTTTGGTCCATAGATGTCCATAGATTTTTAGGATGATTTTGGGAGATTGTCGTCATAGATATACGTAGATTCACCCAGTATTTTTTTCAAAAGTAAACAATCCATAGTTTGAATCTTGTTGGGTCACGCATGGTGAATCGGCTGGACATTTGCCAACAGATTGGGAATACAATACTCAGCTAAAAGTTTTTGGTTTGGCATGTGTTTATGATTTATATATATTTATATTGATGTGTGAATCATAGGTATACATATGTTCCAAAATACATCTACAACATATTCAATATACCAATCATCGCCAATCTATATGACACATTGAAAACAATAAACGTATATAAACGTGACATGTCTCATTTTCTTGTGGTAGCCTTCCCGTTGTACCTCTCCGTTGTAGTTTTCCCCCTTTACCTTGTTGTCAGTCCTTCCGTTTCCGGGTCAAAGTCCTGGAGCCCACTGGCTGGGGTATAAAGTGGCCATTCCAGGTAAAAATGTGTTTTTTCAGGGGTTTTACCTGGACTGGCCACTTTATAGAGGCATTCTCTGTTGGGGGAGGGGGTATAAAGTGGCCAGTCCAACATAGATTCTGTTTTTTCAGGGGTTTTACCTGGACTGGCCACTTTATAGAGGCATTCTCTGTTGGGGGAGGGGGTATAAAGTGGCCATTCCAGGTAAAAATGTGTTTTTTCAGGGGTTTTACCTGGACTGGCCACTTTATAGAGGCATTCTCTGTTGGGGGAGGGGGTATAAAGTGGCCATTCCAACATAGATTCTGTTTTTTCAGGGGTTTTACCTGGACTGGCCACTTTATAGAGGCATTCTCTGTTGGGGGAGGGGGTATAAAGTGGCCAGTCCAACATAGATTCTGTTTTTTCAGGGGTTTTACCTGGACTGGCCACTTTATAGAGAAGAAGATTTCCCTTGAAAAATTCCTCAGGGTGAATGGGGTCCTGGGCGCGCCGCGCGCGCGCGCGCCAAAAAGGTGTCAAAATTGGAGCCATTTTGGCGCGCGCGCGCGCGGCGCGACCAGGACCCCTTTCACCCCAAGGACCCCTTTCAAAGGAAAGTGTGTTAGAGGCATTCTCTGTTGGGGGAGGGGGTATAAAGTGGCCAGTCCAACATAGATTTTGTTTTACCATAGATTCTGTTAACGACTTCGATATAGATATTTGTCTGGCTGTCGGTTTCGTTCGGTTTCGAAGTCATTCGAAGTCTTTTGGGTTCCCCATCGATGAGATCGATGATATTCCCCCAAGGTTTGAACGTGGCCCCTCAACTTTATAGACAATCATGTCGATGCTGCCATCGTCGCGATTAAGAAAATCATCGCTACTACAACGATCGTTGTTTAGCCGGAAATCCACATTATAGTGCCACTGTTCTGCACAAGTATTACTATCTGGATGTTCGGCATCTCACTTTATAGTCATGGGACATGTTCGCAAGTACCCTCAAAAACCTGCATCGAGTTTTATGTTTTTACGCGGCCAGGCGACTTTATACAAACGTTGGATTTTGACTTTATAAACAAAACATGTTGGCTTTCCACTTTATAGACTCCAGACATGTGGCCATTCCAGTTTATACCAGGCTATTCTCTATAAAGTCGGCCGCAAAGCATCTAGCGGGCTATACATGGGGGATATTTATAGTGGATTTACCCATTAAAAATGGTGATTTTCCATAGCTATGTTAGTTCACTAGAGGGTATATTTTATTAGGGATCTAATGGGATCTAATGGGATCTAATGGGATCTAATGGGATCGAATGGGATCGAATGGGATCGAATGGGATATAGATAAATACAACCACACATATATGATGGATGTATCTTATGGGGTAATACCAGTCAAATTCATGGTGATTTTCCATCGGGAACCAGTCATGATTCACCAGCGGATGGCATAGGGGGGATGTTTTCAATAAATGTTTGGATATTCAATCAGATATTCCACCAAAAAAGTGGATGGTTTAAAACTCGAAATGATGAAACTAGGGGTTCCATTTCTATCACAAATTGTTGCCAAAACAAACACCCCAAGTGCCGGAATGGGTCAAATTTAGAGGTTCAGGACCGACTGGATGGTTATTTCAAGGAGCAATATGTTTGGAACGGGCCATTCATTTTGTAATGGTTCGATGCGTTTTTGTTTTCTTAGCAAACTTGAAGTTTGTGCTTCCAAGGTGATTCGTCAACGCTCCAAAATCTTGTGGGGATCGTTTTTGATGTTTTTTGTGCCATTGTCACCCAGCGGGTGTCAGGAATAGCATCTTGTGTTGGCTTTGTAGGTGCACGAAGACCCGAGCTTACTGTCCTTTGTGGGGGCGCCGAGGATTTTTGGAAGAGAGAGTTCTACGTGTGGGACGGATGTCAATGAAACATGGTAGGGGAGGAGACTAGACCAAATGGCAAACCTCGATATAAATTCAGCGATACATCCTGCAAAGGGTGCAACATGGTTTATTTTAGTATAATCTCAAGTCACCAAAAAAGAAATTTTTGAAAGCGGCCAACTTATCCAGTTCCCTTGGACAGGTACCAGTGATCCCTCCGTTAAGCAGGGCATTCTGAACCGCTTGGTCAATGGCAAAACTCCTCGAAGTGAATAAATGTAGATAATCTGTAGATGAGATCATAATCACGCTTAACCTTGTGCAATTTGTACACTTGCCCTGCCCTTCTTGTTGTAGTCATCAGCTTAGTTTCATGTCCTGGGATCTTGAACTTGTCCATGTCCAAGAAGACAAAGTCTTACCCCTCTTTGGTGGTTGAGCTGGTCAGTCGCTTGATCATGTCAGAGTTTGCGTGTGACCCGTTTCCCTGATGCGAGGCTGAAAAGACGAACATGTTCAATGTGCGCAGTCAGAGCTGCATGCTGAGTTTTCTCAGGATAGCTGCAATATATACGTATATATATAATCATACATTATATATATATAATACGTATATATATATATATATATGTAATTACATATATATATATATACATATATATATGTACCATAATTATATGTAACATGAGAATGGCGCCCAAGGAGCACATTGGGAATTTCACAGGGTGTCATACTTGGAGTTTCAGTGCCTTTTTTTTCCGCCTAAGATACTTAAATGATACAGTTAATATACTTTAATTTACCACATTTTAAGCAGAAACCGCAAAGTCAAGATGCCTATTTGCTGCTTGAATTTGGCTGATCCATCTTGGAGTTTTCATGGTCAAGGCCAAAATGATCCATGGCGACAAGCCAGACCATCTGGGTCCGAATGCTCAGCCGGCAGATGATTTGGCTACGGGCTACGGGGATCATATCAAGCAACTCCAGATGGGGTCTTGACCCCTAGCCATTTGCCTGTTGGCCCCTAGTCAAAGTGACCAAGAGAAGTTTGGTTTTAAATCAAGCTGATAGAAGAAAGTAGAAAGTAGCAACGATTTGCCAATTAATATGATTACTTTATATTAGAAATACCATTTGTACACCAATAATTATATATATATACGAAATATTGTATATATATAATAATCGCCCTTTTTGTTTCTTTTGGTGTCCTTCAAGTTTGACCCCTGCCTGCTGAAACCTGGCACCCGGGTCGGTATCTCCTCGGCTCGGCTCGTACGACACTTTCCTAGGCACGTGATGCAGGGATCCCGAGCTACAGGATGCCAACATGCTTAGCTTCTAGGTAAGTTGTATCTGGGATATTCCACTTGGCATATCTTGGCATATCTTGGCATATCTTGGCATATCTTGGCATATCTTGGCATATCATCTATCTGGCATAACATGATTTAGCTGTATCTTAAATAGCTTAAACATATTTAATCCAGTGGGTATATCATCTATCTGGGATGGCAGCTACTTAACCTTAGTTGCTGAGCATGGAAATGTAGACAGTATATGTTTGTCTTGAACATACCAGGAGACAGGAAAGTATGATCCGGTGACTTCTGACGACAACCTGGGATTGTGACGCCATTATGCTGTCCCTAGTGGCTGTCAAGACGCTCCTCCCAAGGCAGTCTCGACCTATGGTGCAAGGCTGGGAATTTCATACATGGGGCCCCAGAATGAACAGAATCTACTGCAAATCAAAGGTTCCGGGCGAATTGTTTATGAAGAGGACTGGATTTACATTTTGCATTTGATCTCTTTCATCCCGCACTTTTCAGTGGATATTACTAGATTGGAGTGTTATTTGGCAGTACTTAAGATTATTTAGCTCCCCATGATCCAACTTAGGGTACTGTACGTACCCTCTGGTTATTTAACATAGCCATGGAAAATGGCCCATAGAAATAGAGGGTTTACCGTTCTTAAAAATGGTGATTTTATCTTTCCATGGCAAACTGTTAGTCATAACCAGATGGTATATTCAACAGTTATTTAATAGGTAAACCCTCTATAAATGGTTATTTATAGTATATTCAATGTATAGCTAGGTCACCAGGCTTGCAGTCCGCAGGCGGCCCATGCATCGGTCCACAAGTGGTTGGAGGCAGGGACGTGCCTGGGATACAGCGATAGGAAATCGAGCCCTTGATGACCTTGATGGGGGCACTGGTTAATGGGGTGAGTGAAAACACTTAAGCTATACTGACACCATGCGGAATGTGTTGATGGGTGTTGGACATTCATTGTTTTTCTATGTTTTGAGATGCCAAAAACATGTCGTTTGTTGTGTTTATGTCTATCTGAGCTACCTGTATTCTCTGCTGCACAGGTCTTGGCTTTGTGGGAGGCCCCAGGAAGTTCTATGACTGGGAAGCGTTCGCCCTGCACTCTACCATGGGGGGGGGGGACGATGTCTCAACATGTCTCAACATTGAGGACTCAGGAAACTCTCTTGGCCTCTTATTGTCAAATCTCGTCAAGTATATTTGGAAAGAGATGGAAAAAGGAACTTTTAGGTCCCCAGCTTGCAGATCCATCCATAATATACTGTATGACTGTATGAGATGAACTTCGTGATTCGCGGATATTTACGGTATGAATCTGAACTAGCGTACAAGCCACATGAGCAATGCGGGGTACAAGAAATGTAGACTTTGATCCAGATAGGTGCAGTCAGCAAATGACCAAAGTCACATCCCGAAACAGTGGGTCAAGGTAAACCACAAGAATAAACTGTAGGTCAAGGGAAACTACATGAACTAAACTGAACTATGTAAACTCAACAAGAAATGGAGGCTGATGTTTTGAACATCTCAGCTCGAAAGGCGAGATTGCAACCGCTGCCACATTGCGCATGAGACAGGTCAAACAGAAAGGTGCTTAAATGGGGCCGCAGCCACCATTAGTTGTCCAAATGGGCATGCCACAGTATGTCTTTGAACCTACATGGTCTCATCAGAAAACTCAGTATTTGCAGGTGCTTCCACTTACACAGCTTGTAATGTTTCGTTTTTCAGCGCTTGCGGATGCTTGCCACCTAGCAATCAGATGTTTCAACAGAGAAGGCGGGTTTCTCATCAGAGTCCACTCCAAGGACCCAAAGCAGAACTATGCCTTTGCGCCGACCATGCGCAGCACCATCCACACCACGTACCCAGCTCAGTTGGGACCGGGGCACCAATGGTTGTATGGCTTGAAGCTCCTTGATGCAGAAAAGATCTTGCCAAATGAATAACAACATAGTAAATCACGTGGAGGCTTCCTAAGTGTTGAAATGGGGATACACCAAATCATCCCCAATTAGGCCCTTTTAGTTTTGAAACCTATGGTTTTTGGGGGATCCCCTATAGGAAACCTCCATGTGACATCTTGTGACCATCTTGATCAATCTTTGGATCCGCAGCATGTTATCACTTCAGGTGTTCACAAGCCCCAAGCCACCCGCCAGCGTTTTTAAAGTTTAAACTGTGGGATGCAGTTCCAGTTTTATTTCAATGGTGGGAATCCATTCTGGAAAAACATATAGTCTATATCAGCAAAATGAGCAGCAAACATGTGGGTTGAGGGGGTTCTACGATCTTGATCCATATCTAGGTCGAATTCTTCAATTGAAACCTACATAAAGAAAATGGCGGGTTGCTGAAGAGCCTAGTATATACCGTAGTGTTTAAAGAATTGGGTGGAAATCAGTGTGACACATAGGTTGGCATCACAAACATCACCGAAGCTAGCAGGAGCAGTACAAGTTTCACCCTCCATGGCAGCCATGGAGTGTCGCACCGGGGTTAACCCAGATGGTGCCACCCTGATCAATACACAGATGCTCGCTGCCACTTGAGTTTTTTTTCAGGTTCCCAGGTTACCATGCTGAAAGGTGGTACCATCACTTCTGTGAATTAAGCTGAAAGGAATTCTAAGTGCTTTGAGACAGTTGTCCGAAGATTTCGAGGCAAAGTAATCCTTACTGAGCTCTTCCTGAGCTGATTTGGTTCTAAATCAACTCAGGATTGTTGCCAAATTCAAGTCCATCCGGGATCTTGCTGGCCATCAGAATCCTCGCGCATTTGCTGCTTTGCAAGGCGAAGAGGCAGCCGATCTATGGTATCCCGCATCTCAAATTCGGGAGATTGCAAATCAAATCCTGTCATTGCTCCCTGCTACCCCAGAGGAAGACGCAGATGTGCAGGACAGGTGAAGCTGTGGGGTGGTACCTGATGCAAGAGTTTTAAACATATTTAAACATTTTAAGCAGGGTCACACTGCCGAAGGTCTCAGCCTTCATGAGTCGCTTTATTCCTTGTTCGTATTCTCATTTTCCTGCATGATGCATGAATCATTAATATGCATTAATGCGATCAATGCCATTTTGAAGAGTCTGAAACGTGTCTGAGACATGCTGAGCCAAAATCTCGGACCAGGAGCTGCAGATTGATGATCCCAACAATCCCTCGAGTGTGTTCGCAGCATTGCTAGGCTGTGCCCGGGAAATGGCAGAGCTAGATGATCATCGGATTTGGCGATCAGCCTGCGCACAAATCATTGGTGCTGCTCGGCGGGCCGAGGAGCTGCTGCAGCCATGGCTGCTGGTAGATGTGCTCCCGGAGGGGTCCGATGTATTCACAAATCCCACGGCCCGATCTCATCCAAGGGCCCCCATTGAGGGTAGTGTCACAGCACTGACATGGAGTGTGACAGAAGAGACGTGGGCACAAGGAGATGCAGAGGCTTTTGACCTTCCTGATGCCATTGCTGCCGGGGAAACAGAAGCAAAACTGCAAGCGTTGGAGCACGACCTGCTGGAGTTGCAGAACAAGCACAAAGATCAAAATCACCATGAGATTGCTGCGACACTGCATGCACTAGGCAAGTTGAGTCAAAAGATTGGAGATCTCAAGAAAGCCAAGCAGTACTTTGATGACTCCTTGCGAATGAAGAGCTCCTTGCACGGGGACAGACATCACCCCAATTGTGCTGCGACACTTCATGCACTGGGCATTTTGAGTCAGCAGGCAGGACATCTCAAGAAAGCCAAATGGTACTTTGATGAGTGCTTGCGAGCGAAGCAATCCTTGCATGGGGAAAGGGATCACCCTTGCATTGCTGCAACCCTGCATGCACTAGGCGACTTGAGCCGGCAGACTGGAGATCTCAAGCAAGCAAAAGAATACTTGGTTGTGTCCTTGCAAATGAAGCGCTCCTTGCACGGGGTCAGAGATCACCCTGGCATTGCTGCGACACTGCATGCGCTGGGCAACTTGAGTCTGCAGACTGGAGATCTGAAGAAAGCCAAGCAGTACTTGGATGAGTCTTTTAGAATGGAGCGCTCCTTGCATGGGGACAGGGATCACCCTGGTATTGCTGCGACACTGCATGCACTAGGCCAAGTGAGCCAGCAGGCTGGAGATCTCCAGCAGGCAAAGCAGCACTTTGATGAGTCCTTACAAATGGAGCGCTGCTTGCACGGAGACAGAAATCACCCTGAAATTGCGGCCACACTACACGCGTTAGGCAACTTGAGTCAGCAGGCTGGAGATCTCAAGCAATCCGAGCAGTACTTGAATGAGTCCTTGCGAATGAAGCGCTCCTTGCATGGAGACAAGAAACACCCTGACATGGCTGCGACACTGCATGCGCTCGGCGACTTGAGTCGGCAAACTGGAGATCTCGAGCAAGCCAAGCAGCACTTTGCTGAGTCCTTGAGAATGAAGCGCTCCCTGTATGGGGACAGGGATCACCCTGACGTTGCTGCCACACTGCATGCGCTCGGCGACTTGAGTCGGCAAACTGGAGATCTCAAGCAAGCCAAGCAGCACTTTGCTGAGTCCTTGAGAATGAAGCGCTCCCTGTATGGGGACAGGGATCACCCTGACATTGCTGCAACGCTGCATGCACTAGGTGACTTGAGTCGGCAGACTGGAGATCTCAGGAAAGCCAAGGGGTACTTGGATTTGGCCTTGAGAATGGAGCGCTCCGTACATGGGGAAAGGGATCACCCTGCCATTGCTGCGACACTGCATGCTCTAGGCAACTTGAGCAAGCAGGCTAAAGATCTTCATCAAGCGAAGCAGTACCTCGATCAGTCCTTGCAAATGAAGCGCTCCTTGCACGGGGTCAGAGATCACCCTGACATTGCTGCGATACTGCATGCGCTGGGCAACTTGAGTCTGCAGACTGGAGATCTGGAGAAAGCCAAGCAGTACTTGGATGAGTCCTTGCGTATGAAGCGCTCTCTGCTTGGGGACAAGGATCATCCTGACATTGCTGCAACACTGTATGCCCTAGGTGATTTGAGTCGGCAGACAGGAGATCTCAGAAAAGCCAAGGGGTACTTTGATGAGTCCTTGCGAATGAAGCGCTCGTTGCATGGGGATAAGTGCGCTGGGCAAGCAGGAAAAAGATCTCGAGCAAGCCCAGCAGTACGTGAATAAGTCCTTGAGAATGGAGCGCTCATTGCAAAGGCATGAAGGCAACCAAAGCGGAGCCTAATTTGAAGACTTCATGTGCGTTTTAAGATTTTATTGAGATGAGGCGTGTGTGAGTCGTCGGAGACCAACACGCGGCCACTTTCGTGAAAGCTGAGCATAACAATTTGGACATTGCTCTGCAAAAATTGGCTGAGTGTGCCTGCTTTGCCTTGGCCGTTTTGTGATGTTGTAGATCAAATTCACCAATATGGAGGTTTCCTAAGTCATGGGGGTACCCCTAAATCATCAATTTTAATTTATTTTATATAATAAGATCTTCCATTTTGATTATAAACCATCCAGCTATTGGGGATCCATAAATTGGAAACCCCCATTGCCCAATGTCCCTAGAGGCGGGCGCATTTTTTCAGCGTTGCAACCAGGATTTCCCACATTTTTCCCACTTTCCCAAATTGTCCCTCTTGTTTCCAGGACATGTCCCATTTTTTCCAGTGGTTTCCTCTCTTGGTCGGTTTCCCATTGTTTGGCGTCCGAGGAAGCCCTGTGTTCAGCCTCCAGCACCTGCGGTGCGCGGCTGTGGGTTTAGGTGGTTAGGTCGCGGTAGGGGTGATGGAGATGACAAACAATTGAGTGAATAAATGACCCATCAGAATTTTAAGTACAATATGTTAATATATGTTAATATAATATGTTATGGGATTGATTAGATTTCATGAGATCTTACAAATTGTGGTTTATTCGCATATCATATCAGGCAATGATTGCCTGGTTGGTTGGGTGGTTTGGAATTATTGGGATACCCACAGTGACATTTTCCGGCATGGGGGAATCTTCAATTGCAAACCACCAACCTAAACCACCAGGTGGTTGATATCAAGGGTGTTCACCGGTTATGAATTATTTATAAGCTACAAGATATATTAGTTTGTCGTTTTTTTTTTTTTAAATGGAGTTACAATGGCTACTCCCTATCCACAACTCTCAACTCAGCGGTTTGCCACTGTTTGCCTGATTCCTGACATAGATGTTAGCATGATGGCAGAGTCGAGACAAGTTTGGTGCTAAATCTTTCAACAGTTTACCCTACACGTGCTAGGTGTTCAAGGGTTTTCATTGTCTGTGATTCTCACCGTGAATGAACCGCTAAGTCGTTGCATCAAAATCAACTGGGACGTATCGCATTGTGATCCCACATGGGGCAGTGGTTGATGGACATCTTGACTCAGGGTTATGCACATGTTTTTTTTGTTTTGAACTTGGTTAGCATGTTTTATGTTTTAGCATGTTTTGACGTTTTCATTAGTTTTCCTAAACTCGTCTACCTAGTTTGGTGCACTCATTGAAGAAGGCCTGTTTGAAGAATCTCAAGGGTTTCAATGACACTACTGCCGCACTGCTCATGATGCTGGTGGTTCTGGTCATGCAAATCAATCTGCTGATGCCCACAGTGCTTGTGATACTTCTGCTGCAGGTGGGTATGGCCCGGATGGCGCAAGTGCCGCAACAACTGACACCACCAGGTATGCCGGAGAGGGGAAGGAGTGGGACTCAAGCCTCTCAGGATCAGTAAATTCACCCATCCAACTGCTTCCAAAGCCATCGATTTTTTTGGAGCAGGTCCTCAGGGACACCACTTTGCTCAAGTCCTGGGCCCCAGATTCTTGGGAGCTACTCTTGGAGAAAGAGTGACGCAAAAACTTGTTGCAGATGAGCCCCAATGAGACTCTGCAGTGGAAATCACAAACTGGTTGTACTCATAGTGCTAAGATGTGCTAAGTCCAGGACTTACAACATCTTACAACATAGATTTTCCCGGCTTTGATCTGAAGAACCCGCAACATTTCTGTACCTTTTTCCCTCATCTTTCAGGAAATCCCAAGGTGCAGGCGGTGCCAACCCTGGCCCCATCACCACCGAGGCCCTCCACGCCCGTGGCAGATCCGCGTCGCCGGCCTACACCGGTGGAGCGCCCCACGGCTACATCACCGCCCAGAGGTGGAATCCGGTGTTCATTGCCATGATGTAGCCATGTCATCTAGAAATGGCAAGTGAATTTTGGTCTACAGTGTCTACAGTCTACAGTAAGGAATCCAGCATGGCGAAGGAAAATCCAGGACATTTGCAGAAGCCCCAGTTTTCAAGTAGGAAACTTGATGGAACTGGGAGACTTGCCATTGCCAGGCATATCCAGGCATGGATAGATCCAGATGGTATATCATCAGTATATCATCAACCCCCCCCTAACGGTCAATGCAGAGGCATCCGCAAGTGATGTACGTGACTCGCTGAGTGCTGGTGCGCGGGCGCGCTTGCAGCAGTGGGGCGAAGCGTTGGTTCCTCCGGAAACATAGGTCCAAGCAACACGGTTACCTTCATGGCCCTGATTGTGTCAGATTATATTAACCAAAACCCATCAAACCCCCGTACCTGTTCGCTTCAGATGGGTGGGTCAAAAGCCGGGATCCAGTCACTTTGGATCTTGCTTTCATGACTGATATCAGGCAATGAATGCCAATAAGCAATATATGTACACATACATGTATATGGTATATATATAGATATATACATTATATTGTATATATTGTGTATATATATATACACGTATATATATATATGTTTATTGCATACAATATATAACCAGTGATTATATCATATTATGTATAGCACATTTTGCATTTACACCGCAGGCACGGATCGTGATTCATATATGTAAGTGCACGCATTTCCGGGACTTGCGGATTTGGATTCAGCAGGTCAATGGAGCCAGCGCAGTGGCGAGAGCTTGACAAAGATCAACGCCTAAGAGAACGTCGAGCAGGTCGGTCTTCCAAAGTCTCTGGAGTAGTTTTTTTTTTTTTTAAATATATATACATTGGATTTTTGAAATATATGGACATCAACAGAATAGAACAGAATCCTTCAACCTGACTATATACTTGGAATGAAGATCCCCAGCCAAGTCATATGTTTTTTTCCTATGTCTCTTTGTTCCAACTAATTGCCTCCAACACCAGTATGTGATATAGTAATTCGGGTTATATTAGTGGTTCCATAATAATAACCATAATATAACCATAGTATCTAATACAGTGGTTATTATTATAGTATCTAATATAACCATAATAATCAGTCGTTCCAAAGTAACCCCCTTCAGATCTTTGGGACGACCAACAGCTGTGACACGACGAGCGCCGGTTGGCGGGCATCGCCCGGCGGCGCGGGCGGCTGCACAGCACCAAGACTGGCAGCCGCGTCCGACGCGTCACCTATCGGACCTATCGGTGGGAGAAGGACCTTGACCACCGATCACAAAAGATGGGTTTGTGGTAAAATTTGGGGAAACAATGCGCAAACGATTCAATCTGTATGATTTATATTGATTTATTGGAACCTCATCGCAATTAATGGTGAATCTTGGGAAACGGTCTATATCAAATAGCCTTAAAACTGGTTGAGGATTTGTTCAAAACTATCGCAGATGAATGGGCAATGGGAAAATAAAGAGCAAACATGGAGGAAAGAGGTATGACTTCGGAGATCAAGTCCAGCTACACATGCCATTGGGGATTGGTATAGGATACAGGCAAGCTTGACCAACATTGTATACAACATACAAGGTTATGGTGGCCACTTAGAATTGGGGGCAACCAGCTGGAATGACATGGAATGGCAAAGACAGATTTTGTGTGTCTGCCAAGGACTGCGATATTAAAGTCCACCCTATAGTTGTTAGTTCTCTGTAGTGTCTGAAAAGATCCTTATGAGGCACACATCAAGCCGCCTTTTTGCATCCTTTTGCTCAGAATGATTGGCAACATACCATGCTTGTCTTCAGGTACGAAATATTTGAGTTGTTCCACTGAAACAAGTCCAACCTGAGGATTGGCTCATAACACCCCAGTAGCTTCTCTGGTGACGCTGTAGCTGAGTTTCGAATAGAGCCAAGCACTTTGGCGCTGAAATTTGTTCCGTGGTCCACTGCCCCCGGGCACTGCTAGGGACCTCAGGACGTAGATCTTTGCCGTTCTAAAATTGGCGCGGAAGGGTGCTCAGGTTGAAGCGGCGGTGATGCAGTTCTACAGCATTAGAGGGGGAACTCGGAATATTGAGCAAATCATCAGGAACTCAAAAGCCTGCGCCGTGAAAGGACCTTAAAAGATGATTTGTAAGTCGTGGATCATCAATTCAAAAATGGACTCACTTCAGTTTGATCTGGGCCGATTCGCCCAGAATTGGTCTTCTGGGTCTAGCAGTTTTGAAAGAGAATCCACATGGTTGGACTCTCCTCGGACCTCAGCATTCGATCGGGCGCATGTTGAAGTCCACCAGAAACATGTCATGCCTTCCAGGAATCTTGCAATGTCATTCATTTACTAAGTTTCAAGACGTCAATTTCCCATGAGATTTATGTATAATATATTGTAGAGCTTCGCACACCTGCAATGCCATAAGGGTTATGTATAGTAGTGTGAGCGTTGGTGTTGTTCAGGTGCTCTGCACGTGTGTGCAGATGCAGAGCACAGTGTGATGTTCTTGTCATACAGCAGCTTGTAACCATCTTACCCCAGATTTTTTTTGTCGCATTTTTGTGCTTGTTCTTCTTCTTGTTCTTCTTGTTCTTCTTGTTCTTCTTGTTCTTCTTGTTCTTCTTGTTCTTCTTGTTCTTCTTGTTCTTCTTGTTGTTCTTGTTGTTCTTGTTGTTCTTGTTGTTCTTGTTGTTCTTGTTGTTCTTGTTGTTCTTGTTGTTCTTCTTCTTGTTCTTGTTGTTGTTCTTGCAACACAGCTTATTTTCGCATTTTTGTGGACCCTAAAAATCGTCAAATAGGCGGTGTTTTCGCATATTTTTGAGACCCTCGAATCAAACCAAACACTGTAAATACCGATGTTTTTTGCACCTCGGAAGCCCAAAACCACGGTACTTACGATGTTTTTTGCCTCTGGTAGCAAAAATCACAGTATTTACAAAGTTTTTTGGCCCGCGCCTAGCCAAAACACTGACATTTACGCAGTTTTCACCATGTTGCCAGATGTAATTTCTATATGCGAAAAAGACAAACGCACTTTATGTTACGCTGTTTTTGCTTCCCGAGCGCAGCAAAAAATCGTCAAACAATTGTTTCAAAATGCGCGCGGTCTGCAAAGCTTTGAGGAAAAATAAACGTTTGAAGTTCCAACTGATTCCAACTGCTTCAATCAGTGTGGTGTTGCCAATTTTTTCTTTTTGTGGTCTGGTGGTTGCTTGTGATTTCTTCTGCTGCCATGCTGGCTTTATTGCTCCGCTGCCAAAGCTTAAGGCAGGCAGAGCTGCCATTTGGTTGTTGAAACTCAATTAGGTCTTCTCAGGCCCATCAGCAACTGGTTGCATGTCCTAGATGCGTGTGGATACACGCGGAGGATAACTCGGTATGAACATCCTGGCCCAGATTTGATTGCTTTCCCATCCTCAACCCAGAGAGACTTGTGAAGTCTTGTATTCAGAACAACCGTTCATGATATGTTGAACCTTGGAGCTGTGGTTGCGCCGGTGTTTTGATTCACTTGGCAGGATTCAAGAGATGCATGCCGAGAACTTTCCGCACCGCGACATAGAACTGTCGAACTTCTGCCTGTCCTCTGATCAAATCGTGCGCATCATTGATTTTGGGTTGGCAAAGAAGTTCAGGCACATCATGTTTGTGGAGGATGCGAATTGTCTGGTTGCCAGGACGGTCGATGGAAACCATATCACAATGAGAGTCGGCAAAAGTTTCAAAGGCACCCTTGATTTTTCTGCACCTACAAGAAACTAGCTGTCTTTTTGCTCTTGCCGCCGCTTTCTCCTGCAGCTGCCAAAGCTCGAAGAGAGCGGCTTCGCCACACTCAAACAGCATGACAGTGAAGGACGGAACAACGCCCTGTAGTGCCTAACGTCGCTTTCTGCACCCCGAAACACCACGGCCCCGTTTTGCACCTTTCTTCTTGCCTTTTGCTTCTTCTTGCCTCTTTTTTGTCTCTTGCCTGTTGCGTCTTGTTCTTGCTGCAAGCTTCCATCGAACCTTGCTGCCTGTAATCTCTTCTCTGACGCGCTCCCCCTGCCGTCGGCTGGGGTCGGCGGATTACGGTATACCGATGAAATAGCCATAGCTGATGGGAACATGATGGTTGACCAAAGAATTCCGAGGTACCATGTTTTCGAACAAACCCATATGAATTTGTCACTTGTACTTGATTGTACTTGGTTACACCAAGGCAGTTGCACAACGCCTGCAGGTTTTTTGAGTGCGCATTTATTTGGCTGTCAAATTCCCGCAAGCAGTGGCAGATGGGTAGGGATTTCAATCAAGCACATCTTGATAAATGGGTTTGTTTGCCAACAGGGTATATGCCCCATTCCATCCCGTGCTTCATAATTTTCTCTATTAACATCAGGCCCAAATGGTCATATGGTAGGGTTCATATCAGTTTGAACTGTGATGACATATCTGATTTGCCTAGCCAATATATTGTTTGCGTGCTGTTTAGATGTTTTTGGGAGTTTGATTTATCACGCAGTGTCTGGACCTGAGTGGACTGTGTCCTCTTAGCTTTGGATCAAACATCACTTTGGATGGGCGCATGCTGAAACCACCCAGAAACATGCAACGCCACCCAGGAATGATGGGAACTCGATCTACTCAAAATATAGGAATTCAATGATTTTCAGACATCTAGCAACCAACCAACATCCAACACCCACCCAACATCCAATCGCAACATTGGTAACAAATCCAAACCTCCACAGGGCCACATTGCAGCCCTTCAACCCGGACTTTGTGTTGAAAGTAGCTGCTAGTCCTGAAGCTCATGCCCCCTCCGCAGGGCAGGACGTCGGGAGTTGGGTGTACGTATGTCACATGGTGACATACCCCCCCAACTCAAAAGGGTACCCAAGATTACCTAAATCAGCCGTTCCATCCCATAGCGACAAGATTTTGAACCATCTCAAGCTGAGCTGTAACCCCGACAACTGGGTTTCCACTAGATGTCACATGGGTAGATGAATCCTGAATACGGATAAGAAAGGGCCATTGTTGTCGCTTCAAATGTCTTGCGCGTTTGCTGGAAACCGGCATGCCGGCATCAGGAATATTCTCAGATGTTCAAGGGCAAGAGCCTCGCAGTTTTGACTTCTGTCCTGGTCCGTGGCTCAGGCAGCTGGTGAAGCCAACCAGGAACACAGAGGTATCCATAGGGGTATTTTGGGGCAAGGAATTTGGATGAATTCTTGGATGAAGTATGAGTATGATTGAATTGCCAGGGTTCAGTGGCAAACTTCATCAAACTTCCATGTGTCTTTGTGGTTTGAGTGGCGACGCCTCACAGCCAGCTGCAGGTTACAGTGACATGTGTGGTGATTTACCTCGCCGCTTGGCTGTCTTGGAAGCTGTTGGATGGGGAAGCTTTAGATTGGCAAAGCTCAATTCACAAATAGATATGATATAGTGATACTATTGGGAAACTGTTAGATGGATGTGTCAATATCTTAAATAGTACGTAGTGGTTGACTGACATATTGAAATTTTCACTTAAGATATACACATGCCATCACGTGCCAGTGGAACGAGCCAGCGATTCAAGCTAGCAGACTATCAGTCTATCAGATCATATGTGCAGAGCAACATGGTATCGATGTAGTCAGGTTCTGATTGCAAAGGTCAGCCACATTGATAAAGGCAGCATATTTTCAGATTTTGGTGCCAGGATTTTGTAATCCATCCGTAATAGTTGAATTGGGCTTCAAAGGAGGACTGCACGCCAAAATAAACATGCCAGTATATCATGCACCTCCGTCACTAGTTACTGTTTGCAAGAGCCAAGCATAGAGAACGGTCAATATGGCATCTATCAATCGGTGTGCAGGTTCTAGAATCAAAGTATGCGCATAATTTGATGCGCCCCCCTACTGTGACCATGACATCTTTTTAGTTACCCACCGTATTGTGCCAAACTTGACGATGGAAAGCTGCAAGTGATCAGCAGAGTTTCCTCAGGAATGGCGAGCCGTGCAAGACATACGCAAGGTGTGGAATTCCTTGGAACATCTTGGAACTATGAATTCGCAAAAGATAGGATTTACCCTCTGGTTATTTAACACAGCCATGGAAAATCACCATTTTTAATAGGTAAACCATCTATAAATGGGCCATTTTCCATGGCTATGTTAAATAACCAGAGGGTAAGTCTTTGAAAGATGTGTAAAGAAAGTTGTAAAGATGTGTAAAGACCTGGCGGTCCTGTGAAGAGTTCAAGGAGGTCTTCTATCAATGGACAAATGAGCGGACAAAGAAGTATTGTACGAGACAAGCTTTATATTAGCCTGGAAAACGAGCTGATAGGATAATTTTCCATGATAATACATCGACTGCTTGATGGTTTTAGCATGTCAGTTTCCCTTTCCATTCCCCTCCCTACCGGCACAGTCGCCGCGGCAGGGTCTCTCCGGCACCGAGCTGAAGTCTTTGTTCGCCAAGGGTCGCCATGCGCTGCTGCACCGCATGGTGATCTCAGGGGGACACTCCTGGGGCGGCCCTGCGGCTGACACGCGAGGCACGGCTGAGTTGGGGGGATCAAGGTGGTCTATATATATATATATACATTCATATATATATATATATGGTTATCTCAACGAAACAGGGGGATTCCACTAACGGATTTAACCAACAAAAACA